TGTTGAGAAATGACTTTAATGACTTCTCCTCGGGCTGGGGCTACACGGCGCGTCGTCGCCTGCTGCAGAAGCATTGTCTATGTTTTATTTTTATAACAATGACAAACTAGAACAAGATACATAAAAAACGAAGATTTCAATTTGTGTGCGAATGTGAAAAAAAAATACAAACAAACGCAATTCTGCAACTTTTTTGTTGTCTTTTAATCTGAATAACGAACACAGTATTTAATAATAAGTATTCTTCAAGTGTTTACTACAATTCTACACGATCCCTTGTCGAGTCGATAGTCGATAATTGATAACAGCAAAGATGTCGGAGCTACGGCGCAGTTTCAGTCGTCTATCGATGATCGTTTATCGGGCAACGCATTCCAGTGAACAGTCCTGGCGCGAGGAGCTGCTGAGGTAATGCTCGAACTACAGTGAATAATCGCTTGAATGGCTGTAGTAATGTTTGAAGTGAATGTGAAAATATGGACATGGACTTTCGATATATATCGATTCTTCTGTACAGTGCTCAGTATCGTTTATCGCTGACATTGAACTCGCTTCTTGCAGAAAGATATATTTTTGTTTATAATTCATTTAAACAAGTGTTTAGCTCTGAGCGCTAAAAGCTAGTTAGTATGTTATATATACATATATACACACATATTTATATATGTATATATATGTGTGTATGTAGACCGATCTGTGTACATTTCATTAAAATGCTGTTTAATTGAATACTGCCACAAATATTTGCATGCAACGCTTTCCCAGCCGCTGCTCATTACTGCGCCTGGCAATTGTTTAAAGCATAGCTATAAATATATACTACATGCACATAGATCTATACATATATAGCTATACATATCTATAGGCATCATCTATATACTACACCACGCATACGACTTGAAACATCTGCTCTGCTCTGCTTGTCTATATAGAAACAGCATTTCAACAAATTTTGTTTACCCGGCGCACACGTTGTTCAACGTTCAAAGGTTGAGTTTGCATTTGACAAATCTATCTGAATAATATACACAAGTGTATCTATAGAGTGCATAATGCATCTCTGCATATGCACATATCTATTCTGATGACTTTTGCCATTTCAGTTCTTGGCACTTGCCTGAAATGTAAATATGATTTGTTTCTTGTATGTGCAACACTTTTGACATGATTTAGCTCTAGCGATGGGAACCAGCAAATTTAACCTTGTTTCGGTTCTTGCACCCAGTTGGTTCGTTCTCCTTTGGCACATTTTAGCAGTTTGACTTTGAACTAGTTCAACAAGAAATGTCAGGTGAACTAGCTCAAAGCCGGAAATGCATATAATTGTTGTCTATAAACGAAAAGCTCAAGCAAACCAGAAAAACCCAACCTTAAATCGATATTCTTCATTCAAAAATAGTTTGCTTTTCGGAGGGGAAAACCCAGCTAGAAAACAAATATATTTATTATCTCTAGTTTATGCAAACTTTTGGCTACAGCTCAAATTTTCTATATGAAAATATGGTCAGCAATATTTATTAATTTTTAATCCGTTTTACTTTGCTAAAAAAAACTGATTTGTTTTGCAATAACATTTGGAAAATATGCAAAAAAAAAACAACTAACTTTAGCTGCTATTGATTGGGGTTACGGCTGAGTTCATTTCAGATTTGAACCGGTTAATAACCGATTGACAGCATTGATTTATATACCACACAAAAAACATCTGCGCTTTACTTGAAAATCATTTTGATTCGTTTTACCAAAATGACGTCAATCGGTTCATTCGCGACCTCGGTCAACATTATATAGACAGCTAACTGTATAGAGAGCCCGCTTTATAGTTGCAGTTCCATTATAAATTCCTTGGCAATTGGCCAAGAACTGTGCCAGAATTGCAGTTGACTGACAGAGAGAGAGAGGGAGAGAGAGCGTACAGAACCTCGCAACTAACTGATTGGTCACAACTTTCACACTGTCTAAGGTCAGTTTTTATTTTTGTTTTTTTTTCTTTATCTCGAAACATTTAATTGGGTGCAATTAGCCAACTCTACTTATCTGACTGAAGCAATGGAACGTAGTACCTAAATATAGATACAGATTGAAGCTCACTAAGTTTCATGCGAAGTATGCCTTTATATATATTCATATCATTTACAACTGACAAACCTTTTTACCTCTTACGTCAAGTTCTCAATTTACTCACCCATAACTCTTGCTGTTTTAACTGATCTTTTTTATAGAATATAAATCATACACCTTCGGGAATGACTCAATGCGATTCCATTGAATTTGTTTGCCCGCCTTTGGCAACAGCATTTAAGTCTATGGCTCGTACAGCCACTGCTAGTTTAGTCATCTTGTCCATAACTAAAGCTGAGCTGCAGTTGACAAAATGAAAACGAGAGTGAAATAGTTAAAGGAGTGCTCGACTGTGATGTACCCTGACTGAGATCAATATGTTTCAGATCTAAACTATGAAGGCAGCTGCTGAGAAGCGAATAAGTGGGAGAGTGACGGAAAGAGAGAAGAGAGTTACCAAAAAATATAAAAATATATATAAACATATATGTATATATAGAAAAAGTGAGGGAGATATCAAGATGCTATATATAAAGAAAGAAAGGTAGAAAGTGTGAGATAGAGATTAGGAAACAGAGCTGATTAGATGAAATGCAGAACAAATCCATAATATACTCATATACACCCGATCAGCTGGATACACCTTAATACCTTCTTAATGTCTTTAGGGTATAACAATGCTGGGGAAACGGGTTTTTTGCATGCGATTACTTAGAAAACAAACACAAATTTCGAAAGCTTTAACTAATGAATGTTATTGTCAAGTTCGATGGCAATTTCCACGAATTTTTGCACAACTCGCAATGACTGGAGCAACACACGGCAAACCATTTATCAATATCCGGAGTTGACATCAGCATAAAGAAGAAGAAGAACACGAAAGACTTACTCAGTTGCGAGAAGGAGTGAAAGAGAGCTTCTCTTTAAATTATAAGAGTAGCCAAATCCATTGAACAGTTCGGAAAGCTCTTTAGTACTTCGATTAAGCTTTGACTTTCGACTCAAGAGTCAGTTGAATGTGAGCTTTGAGTGTCGTTCACTTGTGGCTACTTTTGCATAAGTAGGCAGAATAGCAGAATGAGTTCGCTCGAGCAGAGCAGAACACGCTGATAGAGCGTGAAATTTGCAATGAAATGCAGAGTGTATGAGTAAAAGTGGGGTATGCACGACTAGCAGATACGCAATGAAATATTTATGTATGCATAACTTCTTTGCTTCTATTCCGATTCGAATGACATTATCAGCGTTAATACTTGGCTCAAAAATCTCTCATTTCGCAAGCAAAATTTATATTCATTTCGCGTATGTAACATATGTCCTAATCTCATAACATTTAAGTCTTCTTTTGATTAGAAAAGATTACACAAAACTCTTGTCTTTTTCAAATGCATACAGGGTATGTAAAATGACCAAAAAGAAGGAGAGCGCACAAATCTCAGCTGTTGTTGTCGTTGCTCTGTGATGTAAGTAGCGTTACAATTAACAGTTAAATTTCACGATTACAGTAATCGTAACTCCACATGGCCTGCCCATCCAATCGGCTGCACAGTGCGAGTTTGACTCTTGATCCGTGATTGTGTGAAAGCTTTCAACGCAAAGCTTCGGCGGAAAGCTCGCCAATTTCTATTTGAGCTAAGGATCGACGCTATACGCATATAAATATCCGTTCGATTGGTTTTTTAAGTTAATTCTCGAACAAATTGTGACTCTTCATGATCTTCATACCCGTCGTTGTGATTTTCGTGTGCTGCAGCAGCTTTTTACTAGAGACTCTCCACTGGTAATTGATTTAGTTATAAAGCAAAACATACCTATTTAATAATGTCTGGATAGCTTTTAGCTCTTGAACCTCTCGAACAGTGCGTCTTTTGTTGTTTAAAAATAAAATACTTATACATTTTTGCATATATATACATGCATATTTATGTATATACATTAAAGATATGCACAATATATATGTATCTGAACATTTCCTGTTTTTGCCACGATTTATCAAGCACACAATGGACATTCTGCTATAACTTTACATTTTTATCTCCTGTTGCCAGGCTTCTGCAGCAATTGTTGTTTCTTAAGAATCTGCATGCAGTTGCATCTTAGAGCCATCGATCTATTAATCTAAATATTTATTTCAAACTTTGTCATCTACACATATACCCTATAGACCACACCCAGCTTATTTCAAATTTAATTTTATTACTAAAATCTCTTATCAACTAAGTCGAGCAACACTTGTTATAATTCAATCTACACTCACTTGGGGTACTTTAAGAATAAAAATTGACAAGATGACAACAGATGTTACAGACTGCGTATATAGTATGCACCAAATGGCATATATAGGCTATCAGCTCTACTGATAAGACGGGCATATAAATAGCATAGCGACAACAGAGGCTAGGAAAACGCTTAGGTGTATGTAAATACAGTAGATGCTCGCTATGATGCTGTATATAGGAGTATAGTCTATTTCCGAAAGCGAATTTACAGTTCATACTAAGAATTGAATTCTATTAATAAACTTTTGTTCAGGAAATGGAAATTTCATTCATGGAAATTGTGTTTTAATTTGAGAAAATTTTCACCTTTTCTTTCTTTTCTGGGAGAGTTTATATAAACTGTAAGTGAAAGTATTTACAAGAATACTTGCTATAGAATAAACTCTACATATAAGAATCGTTTCTTAAAGATTTTTCAGTTCATTATTTAGATTTAAGCATAATTATTTATAAATAATATTCCATATATTAGATTAGTTTCTTTAAGATCTCTCGCTTCATTATTTAGGCTTAGGTATATTAATTATTATAAATAAATTAAGCTAAACACTAAACTAGAGCTCATTTATGAACGCACACATCTCACTCCCCAGGTGTTTAGCTGCTTGACTGAAACTAACTGTCTCTTTCTCTTTCTCTCCCTCTCTTTCTCTCGAATAGGTATCGGCAGACGCGCTTTAGCTCACGCCGCTTGCGGAAACGTGTCGTCTTCAAGCATGGCGAATGCAACGTGGTGCAAGGCAACGTGGCCAAGAGACGCCGTCGCTATCTGCAGGTGAGAAGAGTGTTTTATATTTAGCTAAAGATACACACACACACGCGTTGGGGTTATGCAAATGCAGGTCATTTTAAATTTAGCTGCTATTCGCTCCAATTATCTAGCTGAAGTAAAAGCAAAAATGCTTTAAGTGAAGTTAAGAAAATATTTGGGAGTACCTTGGGCTCAGCTCCTTTTATGCTTCAGTATTTGAATCGAAGCTGAACTGGTTCCGTATAAGTATTGCCAACTGTTGCTATTCATGTGAACCGCATCTTGATTAGAAATTAATTTGATTAGAAATAGAGTCGAATATTTTAACTAGAGCTAGTACCTAGAGCAGAAATCATATATGTCAACATTTGGTTCATGAACCGAAGCATAAAATGATTTCTTAAGAAGAATCTTTGATCTATATCGATGATCGATATATCCTCAATCTGTAGGTACAGTCTCGCCTTACTAAGTAAGGAATATCAAGCATTGTTCCTTTTTACCTTGACCTACACTAAACATCTCTCTCTTCCTCCTGTTCCACCCCATTCACCTTCACCTTACAGGACATCTTCACCACGCTCGTGGACGCTCAGTGGCGCTGGACGCTGCTGGTGTTTGCGGCCAGTTTTGTCTTCTCCTGGGCATTCTTTGGCGTCATCTGGTGGATCATAGCGTTTGCCCACAACGATCTGGAGTATATATATCTGCGTAATACACAGCCGGAACTGATTGTCAACATGACGCACACGGTGTGCGTGACGGAGGTGAAGGGCATGATGACGGCGTTCCTCTACTCTGTGGAGACGCAAACGACCATCGGCTATGGCAATCGCTATGTGACCGAGGAGTGCCCGGAGGCCATATTCACGATGTGCATACAGTGCATCACGGGCGTTTTCATTCAGGCCTTCATGGTGGGCATTGTCTTTGCCAAGCTGTCGCGGCCCAAGAAGCGCGCCCAGACGCTGCTCTTCTCCAGAAACGCTGTCATCTGTCACAGGGATGGAACACCGTGTTTGATGTTCCGCGTGGGCGATATGCGCAAGTCGCACATCATCGAGGCTCACGTCCGTGCCCAGGTTATACGCAAGAAGGTGACCAAGGAGGGCGAGGTGCTGCCCTTCTATCAGCAGGAGCTGCATGTGGGCGCCGATGGTGGCGAGGACCGGCTGATGTTCATCTGGCCCACGACCATTGTGCATAAGATCGATCGCAATAGTCCACTCTACATGCTCTCCGCCTCGGACATGCTCAAGGAGCGCTTCGAGGTGGTCGTCATGCTGGGTAAGTTGTGCCCCACATGCTACTCCTAATCCTGTTTCTTATCTTTCCGCATCCTTCGCTTGCAGAGGGCGTCATTGAGTCCACGGGCATGACGACGCAAGCGCGCAGCAGCTACCTGCCCTCGGAGATACTGTGGGGCCATCGGTTCGTCAATGTGGTGTCCTTCCGCAAGGAGACGGGCGAGTACGAGGTGGACTACACGCTCTTCAACAACACCTACGACGTGGACACGCCCCTGTGCAGTGCCAAGCAGCTGGACGAGCTCAAGTCGGAGTGCACGCGCAGTGCCAAGAGCGGCATAGGTAAGACGATCTCCGGCCTATTTCAATGAAACATATTAAACTTACTCAAATGTGTTCCGACCAGTGCCCTTTGGGGATCGCACGCTGTCCACGGCCAGCATGTTTCAGCGCATTGCATCGGCTGCGTCTGTGGATCATCTGGATCCGGCCAGCGATGAGTCGCTGGACTCGGGCCGCTTGCAAACACGCTCGCATTCCATACCGAACGGCGTCCTGGCCAGCGAACTGGAGCCGCTTAATAATAACAACAACAACAACACGAGCCATGGCCATGGCAAGCACGGCGCACTGTTCACCATGGGCGGACACAATATATCCATAACGACAACGGCGCCCAGTATACCCAACCTAACAAGTATTAATGAGAGAACCAACTCCGGTAATTCCATAAACAGCAGCAACTACAGCAACAACAACAGTCTCAGTGCGCTGAATACGATAACAGCTGCACCGCCAGCTGGCAGCAGCAACAGCAGTCGGGTGAAGCAATCGAATCCGCGACGACTGAGCATCAAACAGGATCAGCTGCCCATCGATTCCATGTGCTGATATTCAACCCGAGCGAGCGAGCGGAGCGAAGCGAACCCAAACTGATGTCGTATTCTAAGTGTAGGCTCCTAGAATTCTAGTTAGAGTACAGATATACATATATATATAGATTGATAGATAGATATAAGCAGAGCGCTCACTCAAATGTAGCTCTGTTAGCTGTGAACTCCTAAAGATCCCTAGCAAGCGCATACCCCCTCCCCACACACCAGCAGCAGGTCGTCCTGACCAACGTCCCTGGTTTATATTAAGAAAAAGAAAAAAAAAACAAAAAGTTGATGAAAATTGATGATTTTAGTATATTTTTTCCTTAGTGTTAGTTTTAAATGAATTTATTATAGACTAAGCTCAAATTGATATTAAAACAAAAACAAATACCGAAAACGATATAATGAAACCAAAATGCTGCAACTTCCACATAGAATCGTATAAACTCTTGATCTAGATAAAGCTCATGAATGATATAGTGCAAAAGAAAACCGTGTTATATGAATTTTAAAAACTACCTTAAACGATAATTGTTCAATATCTCAATTACCCAACATATATATATATATATACACCCATATAAATATTCCAAATTATAGCAAAAATGAGCTTCAATTGTTATAAATAATGTGTGGACAATAAATGGAATGAGCATATGTGAATGTTAATGGATGTATTTTATTTACATATTAAGTGTCGCAAAGATTATAAAAATGAAAAGACCGAAAATATACAAAACACCTGATTGAATATATTATATATATACAAAATTAAACTGGTTTCATTTGACTGTTTTTTAAACCTGTTTCGCAATCTGCAACGACCGCAAATATTCCCTTAAAATGTTTAAAGTAAGTTCAAAAAACACATTTCGTTATTTTATGCGATGCCAAAGCCAACGCCAACGCCAACTTTTTGTTGCATACTCTTGAGCAGCTGCATTAATTACTAATGTATAGTCTATAGTTGGGACTACTGCTTGAAAGACTATAGAGTATATGCCAGCCGGAGGGTATATTAACTGTATGAAAGACAATGTTATTTTATGTTACATAGATTGTTTTTAAGTTTCTCTTTTTTATTTAGTTTTTATTCATTTCTTTTCTTGAAGCACAAAAGTTTCTCGGTTAAAATCCACATGCAGATATATAGGAAACACTCAGACAGCTGTGTACTAAATATCTAGTTTATGCTTACAGCTACAAATTATACATCCATCATTGTGTATAAGCAATGCTATCCAGTTAGAGCGATAGATAGATAGCGCCCATATATCATATCATAAATAAAAGAATTGCATGAAATATTCAGAACATAAGTACTTTTACTTTTACTTTTAATTTAAATATATGTTAATATAATTATGTAAATGTATTTCATTACGTATGTATGCATCTGTGTGTGTGTATATGTTTATAGACATAGTAAATATTTATTACAATTTACAAACAAATAATTTCGCCTGCGCACATTGTGTTTTCCTTTTTGTTTAATTCTCTTTAAATGTTTATTTTGCGATAATTATTTTGAGATGCGCGAAATTAATTGCAACAATTTAGATGTATGCACATATATATATATATATATAAATATACATACATACATATATGTTTAACAATAGTTTTTAGTTCTTAGTTTTTTTGCTTCTGTATTATAAATAAGTTCTTGTTTTTATGCAATAGGACATTTGAAGAATATTAAATATTAATATTTCTCTTTTTTTGTGTTCGTTTTTGTTTTTGTTTCACTTTAAACTCTGTTGCGTTCGAATCTTAGCTGTTAAAATTACATTTAGCTCTGGCCTAGTGCTCCGAGTGGATTATAATCAATTAGTTTAATTAAAGCTACATTTATTAATAAGTATTTACAGATGTTTTCTTTATGAGCTAGCTTAAAGGTTTAGTAAATAATACGCTAATTGTTGTTCTCTTAGGGTTTACTTTGTGTGTGTGTTTGTGGGTGTGAGTGAGTGTGTATTGGTGTACTTAGAACTAGGCGTCTTACGAGCGAGTCTATGAAATGTCCAGCAATATTTTTATTTTATTTTGTTTTTCTCTTCTCTTCTTCTTTTTGTTTGTTTCAAAACCTTTACAAAACTTTTACCTAACAGCTATTTATACATGTGCTCATCTCTTTTGTTTTGTATTTTGTTTTTGTTGTTGTTTTACAGACTAATATTATAAATGTAAATGGTTTTAGCATCATATTTCTTTTGGACGACGCATTGATAGTTGTGTATGAGACTGTGTGTGCGTGTGGGTGAGTGAGGACTTTGTTAGTGGGTTTCACAAATTGTTTTTTTCAATACAAGTTTTCAGTTAATTGTTGCTGCTCCAAACAATAAGAATTCACAAATTATTTATCACAAGTAAGGTATATAAGTGTTCGTACCACGCGCTATGGATTGTATTCAATATATATGCATGTTCATATATAAAAGCAGAATTGTGTGGAAAAGGCAAATTTGAAGAATTTTTAAAAATAAATAACAAATATATTGACTAAGTTAGGGTTGGGGTTGGGGTTGGGGTTTGGGAAATGCGAATGCAAATGAAAAACTGAAAATCCCGCTGCAGTAACAGAAATGAAAACGTAACGTTTTGTGGCAGCAGCGTGCAATCGAATGTTGCCAGCAACATGTTGCATGCAACATAGCAGGCGTAACATAAGAATAAGAACGGCAACCGCTCAGTAATACAGGTAACTGTTGTTGTAGAAATCGTAACGGTAATCGTACGCTTGCTCGCAACATTGTTGCTGCTGCTGCTGCGGCTGCTGTTGCAAGTTTAGCTGCTGCTGTTGCCGCTGCAATTGTTGCTGCTGCTGCTGTTGCTGCTGCTGAAAGTTTGACAACCAACTCGTTGTTGCGGCAATACGCAGCAGATATTTTCATTCCTTGTGATGCTGATGTTGATGCTGATGCGGCGCCTGTTGCTGCTGCTGCTGCTGCTGCTGCTGTTGTTGCTGCTGCTGTGGCAAGAGCTGATGGTGTTGTTGCTGCAAATGGGGCGGCAGACGTGACTGTTGCTGCTGTTGTTGTTGCTGCTGCTGCAGTGGCACGTGCTGCACCTGATGATGACCCTGATGCACCGCATGCAACGGCGCCTGCTGCTGCTGCTGGCTGCTGCTCGCTGTCACCGCGCTAGCGGCAGCTGTTGCCGTGGTGCCATTGTCGGACTTGTCGCGTGGCAGCAAATAAACGGAGCCATCGGCCGCCTGTTGCAAGCTGTAGTCAGCAGTCGAGCAGGGATTGCCATCGGGATCGCGCAGATACTGTTAGAGAGAAGGAATCAAAGTTATCAAATGATGCAACTGGCAATGGGCTTGAGCAGACAACCCACCTGGAATACATGACGATGCAGCATGGAGAACTTGTTGGAGATGCGCTTGCGTTCGGCATCGAGCTGATCCCGAGCGTGATTCAGCTCCGCCTTGCGCTTCACCACCGTATTGACCTCATCCTCCAGCGTGAGTATCTGGTCCAGTTTGCGCTTGCGGCAATTCTGCGCCGCCACCTTGTTCTTGCCACGCCGCCTAATGTCGCGTATCAACGACAACTGATTCTCATTCAGATCGTATTTGGACAGACGCTCGTTGAACTCGTCCATGGGCAGGTTGATGATGTCGCCCACTGCAATGGGTATGTTTAGAGTGCGTGCTCGCTTCTCATCCCGCGACAAGTGTTCGTCCTCCAAGGCGCTGGCTGAGCCGCTGCTGTTCGATTTCGTGGCATGTTTGTTGGCTGTCGGGGGCTTCTTGTCTCGGGGATGCGGTCTGCTTAGCGAGACACTGCCTTGGGGCAGGGCTCCGGCGCCGCCTTGTTGCAGCGCGTAAGTGTGATTCAGCTGAACCACGCCTTGAGGCGTCAGCGGGGCACGTGGCATGACATAGTCTGCTGTAAAGGCGCTGGCCGCGCTCATGCCATAGGCCTGGTGATAGTCCTTGGACAGGACGGGCGCCATGGCAGCTGCCTCGCCCACGTTGCTGCCCGTAAAGGCCGCTGCGCCCGCTTCGTACTCATATTTGATGCCCTGCACCTGCGGCTGTTGCTGCTGTTGTGACTGAGGCGTGGCTGCCACTGGGGCCGCTGTGGCAGTCAATGCGCTGGGCGTTTGCTTGTGAAGATCCCGCTTCCCGTACAGCTGATGCTTCTTCTGTGCCACCGGCGGCTGGCGCGTATTGTTGTTGTAGCTGAAATCGTACGGCCCGCCATACTTGGCCTGATGATAGTCCTGCGCCGAGTCGCTGCCCTCGCCCCACTCGCCATCGGAGAGCGACGGCACACGTTCAGAGCCCATCGAGCTAACTGCACTGTCACTGGACGCGTCCAAACGATCCGTACCACCCTGTGCGCCACCAGCATTGGCCAACAGGTCACTGGTCATGCCACCAACACCGGCTGTAACCACAGCACCAGCTGCACCACCAGCTGCTACGCCGCTCATAGAGTCAACACCACCGACAGCGCCACCAGCTACGCTGTTGGCATTCGCATGGCTGCCTACGGTCAGAGTGGAGCTGCCCGCGTTGCTTACATGTCCACTGCTGGGCAGGCCCAGCACCGATGAGGTGTTGCTCGTGCTATTGTCCACCATGCGACAGAAACCTGTGCGAGAAAGAGACGAAGAAACAATCTTTAATATAAGGCATCTTAAAAGAGGAAATCGTTTATCTGGGAGAGATAATATTTAGTTAGCTACAGTGCAATCCATGAAACTAGTAAGATTTTACTTTAGGCTATACCCATTACCCTTCTAGCGAGCAGTTACTGTACTCATTCACTCTCCATATAGATTAGCAATTTCTGCACCCATCGATTATTCAGCACAATTTACTATATTTGAAAAGCGTGCAATCATCTATACCGTTCCGCTTATCGTCTGCTCGTCGGCTCCGTAGCTACGTGTCAGCTTATCAGTCGTAGGCAGTCCCCAAGCTACCAGGTCTACCATGTCTCACGCTATATGGAGCACACTTTTGCGAAATATTTGGGTGTAGCCACATACACGTACAGCCATGTTCAAGAAAGTGTCTGTTGAGCGTTCTTTTTGGGTCTCTTATTTCCTTATCTTATCGTCTTGCACGTTGAACCATGTGATCTTATATACAATGCTTAAGCTTGTCGATGCTTTTTATACTTTTATCAACGGAAACAACTAATTTCGTAAAAACATTTCTAAAATAAGAAAATATAATATATCTAATGGAACAATAGCGAAGATGATCTCAATTTATTTCTATGTTTATATCAAGTGTTTCTGAGTTTCATAGTTGCTCACGTTTGTGTTCCCAACTGATAAGCCACAATCATTATCACAGCTGAGGCCCTGTAATTGAGTCGATTTTTGGCTCATTATTTTTATGGTGAGCTGATTAAGCTAACCTGTTATAAGATTGGGCATACATACGCACACACATGCATACGTGTGTACTTATGTCTATGTAGGTGTACCTAGTCTGCCTAAGTACGTCTGCCGGCTGGGCAAGGTCAAGCCCATAAACATTGATGACTGGGCAAAATTGTATACAAAATTGTAGGTCGAAGTTATCAGTGGGCCAAGTGCAATAAATACGCCCTGGAACATGCCACGAATATAACAAATTCAAATACAAAATAACGAACAAAATAGAAAATAAGAAACCTAACGTATAACGGAAGTTATATAGAGATAACGGTTAAAGCTTTTGCACGTTTTAGCTCCGAACTGAACGGAATGCGCACATACATATGCTCATTGTATGTATGTATATGCTGTCTTTGTCTAAAAATGTCGCAAACGTAAACACGTAACCCAATAACGTAATTTTATTTAACTTTTTTTTTTGACATTTTATGCCAAAAATGCATTGAGACAAAGAGAGAAAGAGAGTGAGAGAGAAGAGACGTCAACAATAAGTGCGTACATAATATAAACATTTATATATTGAGCACGCTAGAATATAACGACCCAAAGATATAGTACACATAAATACATATATATATATTTTTTTTTTTTTTGATTTTGTGCTTTAACGTTATTGCTTCGAATGAGATGACTCAGCAGTTTAAAAATAGTAAACAGCCAACGGCGACAACGGCAACAAAACTTGCTGAGCGTGCATTAGAGAGAATGTCGTCGTCAGTGTGTCCGTGTGTGTATGTGCGCGCACGAGAGAGCGCACACGATATGGTGAGCGCGTGAGAGTGCGCGCTTTAGAACATTGTCGACGACGACGGCTCGTCGCTGCGCAACTTTGCTGATATCAGCAGCAGCAGAGCTGGTTGCGCAGCATGACTAATGAAAAAAATTGTTACGCGGCAAATAATTAAATGGGGATTGTGCTTTTGATGCTAACATTTCGTACGCCTGAGCATAAAAATAAAACACCGACTGCGCTGCGGCCACCACCCGCAACTGGGCGCCGACGCCTTTGCTTATGCCTTTGCCGCTGCCGCTGCCACTGGCACAACCGCCACTTTTCAGGCGCTATCAAATGCTCTGCTTATTTTCACACATATTTCCCCTCACTCTCACCTGTTGATTTACGTATTGAGTAGTCTGGGCAGCCGTTTTTGGGTCTGATTCTCGTGTTCGTTTGCTCGATTATTTCGATGTTTTATTTTATTTATTTAAATTTTTTTCGCTCACAAATACGTTACTCGCGCGTCATCAAACGTTCTAAATTCGTGATGCACCAATACATATGGGTACGGTTACATATACACATGTGTATGGATGTGTGTATCGTATCACGTATGAATTCTAGTATGTTTAGCAATTTGTAGCGTTTGCTTAATGTGCCAAGTGCGTCATTGTTTTAGTTATCAATACGTTTTTTCTAAATTATGTTAATTATTTCAATTTGTTGTCACGTTTATTGCACGTAATCAATTTCCTCTTTTTTTTTCGATATTATTGTTTTCTTTTTTTTTTATATTTCATTAAATATATGTACATATTTACTTCACTATCGTATTCGATTGTTCGTGTTCGACTGATTGACTCGGACTCGTACGGTGTTCTTGTTGCTTTGCTTTTCTCATGCTCATTTTTAATTTTTTGCCTGAATTGAGCGCGAAACACGAGCGGGCCGAGCTGTCGGCAAGAGCCGAACGTGGCAACGATTGAGCTTACGCCGCTGAGCAAGCGTTGTTGTTCTTCACTCAAATTTAAACTAATTTCACGAATTTTATGCTAATCAGAACACGACAAAGCAGTGCAGAGAAATAACAATGTGCCAGTAGTAGCAGCAGCAGCAAAGGAACAACAACAAGAGCGATATGAAGCGACAGTCAAAAAAGCTTGTCAGTTTTTAAGTTCTCATGAGCGGTTGTGTGTTTGTGTGCTTTGTTGTTGCTCAGCTTGCGCACGCGTTGTTTTTGTTGTGGCCGCTCAACTGGAGTGATGTTCTTGAGTGAAAGCTCCGACCGAGCATACAGCGCATGTGGGAGTAACTCAAACTGAATATGAAACGCCTTCGCTCTGGCTTTTGGCACAAACACTTAATATTTTATACAATTACTGTATATACGTTGCAAGGTTTGAAGGGGGCTTTATAGTGATATAAAAAACACGAAAACGAACACGCATAAAAGCGAATTTAAGCTTTCTTGGTTCAATAAAAATATTAAAATTTCTAGTTTATATTTTTTAATCTAAAGAATGAAATTCAATTTAATAAAATATGAGTCTTAGTAATTCCGTCCATTTCTTAAATCGCAAACATAAAATACCTAAAGCTCAATATAAGCTTTAAGCTCAAGCGTTCAAGAAGAATATCTGTTGTACATTACCTACGCCTAATGTCATTACGAAAAGCTCTAAAGTAACTAGCTTTATTATAGAGCTCATGAAAGCATGAAAAGTTTTCGAGCTATAGATTATTATCAAAGTGTTCACTGCGCTGCTCATGAACTATTATCATTTTAAAATTGAGACATGGTTAATCACTTACTTTCCGTCATATCCATCAGGTGAAGATCCTCGTCGTTGAAAAAGGAATTGATTAAACCATCTGAGTGATTCACGTCCGAAGAAGTGTTCTGCAAATAACAAATCGTTTAACACTCTGCGCATAGGGATCATAACTCATACTCGATCATACCGCATAATACATCATCTCGTGTTCCATTTTGTAGTTGCTGCTGGCAGCGGCAGCAGCGGCCGCAGCGGCGGCAGCAGCAGCAGCGCCATCCGCGTCATTGCTGGCGTTGGTCAAATGCATGCTGGACGAGACTGCCGAGCCCAGATTGTGACCATAATGCGGCTGGCCGCCGGCAGCTGAGCAGAGGTCGCCCAATGTCGAATTGGCATGCAGCATGGCCGCATGGTGGCCATGGCTGTGACCATGATGCGGCCCGGACGATGGTGGCGGCGGCGGTGGCAAGGTGGCAGCCGCCGACTGACCGTACTGTGCCGCGTGCTGGGCGCTGGGTGGCACGCCGGTACTCTGGTACGAGTAGCTGGTATAGTGTGGTGGATAGGGCGGCATATCGGAGACGCCGCCAACCACGCCCATGCTCGGTATGGGGCTAAAGTAGGTGGCCAAATCCTGCAAACGCTCCATCGAAACGCTGCGATTCAGGCGCGGCATGCGGCCCTGTGGAATGGAAAATGCATACCAAATGATTAATTCGTGTGTGAAAACGAGAAGCTGCACAAACTGTTGATGTATTAACAAGCGACGCGAAGGGTTACGAGGCCCGTGGGGGGACCTGCTCATTGTGAAATATACTAATAAATAAGCGATCAATCATGCAAGACTCCGCTTACGGAATTCTCTAGAAATGCGCAACAATAAGCCGCAGACAAGACACGAAAAAAATCAGCTAAAAATAATAAAAAATACATAAAAAAAAAAACAAAAATAAAAACTAAATTCAAATTGCGCTGCAAGTAAAACTTGGCTTGTTGTTGTTTGTCCGACTGTCCGTCCCTCTGTCTCTCTGTCTGTGTGTCTGTCTGACTGTCTCGGCGATCGGTTAAGCCAAAAAACGTGCACAATGTATCAATCGGGCGATTTCTGTTGTTGCCCAAAAGATCGATCAACATGAAATTGAAATGAAACATTTTTTTGTATCGTTTCACAGTTTGACAAGTGCCACAGTCAGCGGTCGGTCTTCGATTTGGGTTGCCTTTCAGCTTCAACTATATCTGAATCTGCATCTGTTGCTGTGGCTGTAGCTGTAGCTGTAGCTGTATCTAACTGATCGACAGAGTTCGTGCTGTGAGACGACTTCATTAGTTGAGCTTTTGTTATTCTTAATTATCGCTTGGGTTTATTTATTTGCTTAACTAATGCCAGTCGAGCTCTTCGCATTGCATACAGCCAGGCGTGGGCGCCAGCCTAAATTATATGCACATACATTAAAACACACACACACACACAGACAGCCAGCAAGAGGGAGAGAGAGGGGTAGAGAGGTGCAGAGCACGCGAGGATCTCGCACGTTCCTCGAAACAATTTGTTAAACGCCGCAATTAAGCGCTAAAAGCCGCAAAGCCGTCAAAAAAAGAACAGGGCCCGAACTATGGTCCATAATCGTATTCGATTTTGAAGGATGCGGCCGGCATTGACATTCAGATTGAGTTGCAGATAAATTCGAACACGAAATATGACGCGACGGGCCCTGAGTAGGTGTAAAGTGAAACAGCAAAAAGAAATAAAAAAAATGTAAAGAACGAACCGAAACTGAACTAAAACTGAAATGAACCGAACCGGTGAACGGCTGAATGTCGACTTTGACTCCTTGACTGGGGAACGAGACAACGTTGACTGACAGTTGCGCGGATACAGATACAGATACAAATGCTGAGATACAGATGCAAAGGCAAGGCGAATGCAGCGAGTCTCTGTGTGTGAGGCTGTATAAACAACAACACACAACTATATATATATATATATATATATAGACACACACATCTCTAATGTATGCCTCGACACGCTCTTCTCGGCAAACAGGTAAAACAACAAGCCAAAGCCAGTCGCCAGGGCAGGTAAACGGGGCGTTTACTTTTGCCAGTTGCATGTGCATGAGCGTCTAGCTTGTATGTATGTGTCTATGTCTCTATGTGTGTGTGTGTGTGTGTGTGTAATTTCAATTGTCACTGTCTTGTCATTAACTTCTGGTGTTAGTTTGCCAGCCACTGGCCATTGTTTTGTTGCGTTTCACACGCAAAGCCAAGTGTAGGGGCTTAGATACGGTAGCAGGCTAACAAATCTACACACGCACACACTTTACACTCGCACACACACTTGCATGCTTATAGCCAAGTCTTGAGTCTTGAGTTGCTGTTGCCTGCCATCATTGGAGATTTTTGCCGTTAGACCCAGGCTGCAATAGCTAAAAGTTCTGAGAGTCCCGTTTGCAGCGAGCTTTCAACGATCTTCCATATGGTCGACGGATCGTAACTCAGTTTTATAGGCTTAAATACGATGATTATCTAAGCAGCTCAACACTTTAATCAATTCAATTAATATTGATAGGCTTAGGCACATAGATATATGCGATTGATATAAGCGCTTATCAAATCTTTGGTTCAAATTTACTAGAAACTTTTCTACATTTATTAAAGCTTAGTTAATATTTCTAATATGAATCCAACTTATCGAAGCACTTTACCAATCTTTAGTCCTTTTTCGGCATTTTAGGGATTATTTGTAGTTTGATATGCTACAAATTTGGTAAAGCTTGTCCTGTCTAAAGAGTCTTATATCTTACTTATCTCAGAAGCTATTGCAACTAGTTTTAAAGTTATTCGGAAAATATCTATTAGTTTTCAAGAACAGTTATAAAAGAAACTTTAAGCTGCACTTGTGCTGTAATATCCTAAACCCGTCTGTAAACTCTATTTTCCAGTGAACTTCTTAACTTTTGAAGAAAGTGTCTCAACAGCTTTTCAAAAGAAACGTTCTATTAGCGTCATTCCCTTTTTATATAAGCTTCTTTGGCATGGTGTGAATACCCTTATTATTGAGAATTTCAAATCTCTTCAGAAGATCTCCAATCATCCCATCTAAAGATTTCATAATTTTGTTATTGGAATTTTTATTTATTTATATAAATTTGTTGCCAATTCCAATTCTAAGAAATTGTTAAAATATTTACGCCGCTTAATATCAGTTTGTTCGCAAAGGGTACGAATGGCAATATGAACGTTTTGAATTGGCAAGCTACAACAATTAGATGCTTAAAATTGTAATTATATACAATCTATTATAATGTAATTAATATAAGCTTATAATTTTTCTATATATCGATAATAATCGATACTCTAATTTGGGTTTAAGCTTGAAAAGCTTTAATGTTTCCTACATAAAATGTGAATGTTTTCTATGTCAGATTGTTCTCTCCTATTTCCACTCAAAATTTGGGCAACAGATTGTTTCCAGCTGCAGGGTATCTTCTAGTCTGGCACTGTTCACTGGCGGGCTATTAGTTGAGTATATCTGTTTTTATCGATTAACTGCCGTCATTAAGCTCTAATGCTAATAATTAGCCTATTGATTGATGCTGAATGCACGTCAAGCATTTCCCCACAAACTTTCTCTGCGCAAGGAAACGCCAAAAAAGTTAAGATAGTCTCTGGATAGTCTCTCAGCTCATCGCTCCATCCTTGTCTCCCGTTATCCCTCTCTCTCTCACTCTGACATCGAATTGAATCGCAGTTGATTTATATTTTTTTGCTGTATTTCTTTCTTTTTGTCATTAATTTGATTTACGAGTCTCAAGAGGACAGCGCGACAGCCATCAAACTGTTTACATAAATTGAATAAAAAAAACTACACACACACACACACACACTCAAGATTGTGTATATAACTCGAAGATGCTGTAAAATAATTAATAAAGTTTTTTGCGCTGATTTTGTGCTTAGCGCTTTTTGTAAATATTTAAAATTCACATAATTAAAGCGACGACGATTAAGGCGGCCGGGGGAAGGAAGTCGCGGCACAGACGAGCTTAGGGCTGCGAGCATTAAAAGATACTTTTTGTTGTATTCGCGCTTAGTAAATGGAGATTTAATTGCAGGGGCTACTGCAGCGGCAGTTGAAGTGGCCGCAGTTCAGCTGCAATCAAGACAACGGCTGGGGGGCGTGGCGGCGCAGGGGCGGCAAGTGCCACCGAATTCAATATATGAACGGCGCACATGCGGAAAAACTCAAGTGGCGCATTGCTACAACAGCAGCAGCAGCAACAACAACAACAACAAAGCGACATTAATGAACGCCAAGCTAAGCCAAGTTTTTTGTGTGCCCCTCGTTTTTGTTGTTGTATTTGCATTGTGATTGCAATTAGCAGGCAGAGCCGGGGGGCAGATCGAGGGCTTAGCCCCGGGTTTTAGTTACGCGCACAAATGGCAAATTAAATGTTATCAGGAAGCTGACACTTTGCACACCGTGTTACATAATCATAATCAAGATCGACAGAGTTGCCTAATGACAGTTGAACCAAGAGACAGAGACAGAGACAGACAGAGCCGGAGTTTGGTAAAAACCCTAGATGTAGGATTTGCTGTTGCGCTGTTGCGCTTCCTGCGAAAGCCAAATGCCGATCATCTGGCTCATTAAATGGCTTCGGCTTTGGCTTTGGCAAGTGCAGCACAAGTAGCCGCCACAACCCGCTGTGCATTCACCAAAAATGAACAGCAGCATCAAGGCATAGTCTGCCATATAGGGGTTACAGTTAGGGTTCTCGGGTAGACGCTATTCGGCTCTAATCCCTTGCGGCTGACCACAGCAAGCGGCATGAAAGAAAGACTTTAAAGTAATTGCCGCTGACTTCATGACTGCTTAGCTCTCACTCGCTACAGCTCTCTCTCCCCCTCTCCCCCTCTCCCTCTCTCTCTGCGCCTGTCTTTGTCAACTGTGAATCTTTTGTATAGCTGCCTTTGTTCAGCTTCATTAGATGCATGCGCATGCGCAAAGAGCCAGGTCAAATATTTTGAACCGCTACTCATTCAGTAGCGAGGACACATGTTTTGGTGGTTTAGTGTGGTTTTCGGTGGTTTTACCATGCGCTGCTGCACTTGTTTGCCTGGCTTTGCGTTGGGATTAGACAACAGACACTTTAAGCTGTTAGAAGACAATATAAATAGATCAAAGACATCATAAAAATGACAACTAGTTAGAGGTGTCAAGTAGTAGATGGAGGCAGAGAGAGTTAACATTCGCTTAAGCATTAACATTAACATAAGTGTTAACAGTAACAGTAACATACTCTGTAGCCAACGAAATTAGTTATGCAAAACATATCTACAGAGTGTAGTTAAATGTAATTCCCAATTCCTACTGCTCAGACGTAACTTTAGTACAGTTGCTGCTTGTATAGGGATTGTGAGTCACTTTGTGCAGCCTCAAATCAAATTCATATCAACAGTTGGCAGGGCAGAGCTGAGCGAGGGGGCGGTGGCGGTTGTCTTGCAGCAACCAAGCTGCGCAAACAAACGAAACAAGCAAAACAGCAAGAGCTTCACACAAATCAGACACATCGTGCGGGCAGGCAAGCCGAAAAGAATCTTTACAAGACTCGAGCGCAGCTGAAGAGCAGCAGCAGCAGCAGCAGCAACAGCAACAACTGCTGTACATACATATAGATATACTATATGTGTGTATAGACAGATGATATTTTCGTTGCTCGCCTCAATCTTTTTGATGAGGCAGTTACAACAAAAGCCACAGATTGACGAACTTTGCTGGCTGAAACGAAACGGAACGGATGAAGCCCGGCTGAGCCGGCCCGTGTTATATACAACCAGATTTGAAGCTTTGTACAAACAGCCACAAAAATAAAAAAAATAAAGAATCACAATGATGCGAGCCAAGATCAAGTGCTCGAGAACGAAGCACAGGCAGCGAGGCAAAAGCGAAAGAAAAAAATGAATCAAGAAGATGAAAAACACTCGAAAACGACGTGCAAATGATCCTTGAATATGGCTTTAAATGTACACGAATATATATACACGTATATATACGAATGTATAGAAAGAGCTCTATATGGCGGATGCTGGCACTTAAAAGGATTCGAATCAATGGCTTACCTGATGATGGCCGTGATGGTAGCCAGCGGAGCTGGGCGGCTGACGCTGAAAGGCGCTGCCCGGTGCGGAGCCCATGGTCGCATAGTTGGCGCTTGCCTGTACCGCACGCTGATGGGCTGCAGCGGCAGCCGCATGGTGGGCGTGGGCGTGATGATGGTGGGCGGCAGCGGCGGCATGATGATGGTGGGTGTGGCTATGGGCATGGGCATGGGGATGAGCGTGGGGATGGGCGTGGTGGTAGGGCGGTGCGGTTGATTGCAGCATTTCGTCTAATTCCTTTTTGGCGTCGTCATCTAAATCGAAGAGCGGCGAACCCACAGAGTCCTGCAGATCATCCAAATCGCTGGCCGAGTAACTCGCCTCGTTATCCCTATCGTGGAATTCCCGCTCAGCAAAGACGAATTCCTCACCCGTTTCGGAAACAATACGCTTCGCCGAGTTGCTATTCAATGCGGCTGCAGCGGCCTGAGAGGTAGAAGCGATCGAATCGCTGGGTAGCTAAAAATATGCAGAGAAAGTCATAAATTAAATGGAGAAACTAGAGAGAGAGTGAGAGGGGGGGGGGGGGGGGGGGGGGGGGGAGATCACTTACCACGTCGTCTTCAAGCGTAAAGGGAGACAGTTGCAGCACGTCGTTGAGCAGCTCATCCAAAGGTAAGCGAATGTATTCACCTGTGGGTGGCAATAAATGGCATTTGAGTCAAGTCATCCAGGCATAGATCAATTGTATAATATATGCGTGTAGCTAAAGAGCATTAGAACCCGAGAGGCAACCACTTTCCGTAAATATTTGTAAATATACAAAAATATTTTGATGCCAGCTAGAAGTCTCTGGAGCATCATCGATTCGATCAATGCAGTCCCAGGAGCAAAACCCAACCTGGACTTGAAAATGCCAAAAATACGGTAGCACTTCCCAGTGGGATAGATTGCAAATCGAAAAGGTAAACAACCAGGAGTGCAACAATCATTAATCATAAATATCAAAAGATCAGCTGCAACTCACGGAAGCAGCTGATAAAATGGCTAAAAACGTAACAAAAAACGATATTCCAAAAAAAAAATGCTTAATTTATGATGCGTTTTGACAGGTCTCTTAACAAAGAGCAGATGAATCCTCTAGACTGGAGTGTAGTGAGAGACTAGATGAATAAGTAAGAGTTTTGACAGCGCTGGTAAAGAAAAGCAGTGCGCGTAGTGGGAGACTAGGCTAGACTAAGTACCTGAGCCAAGGAAAGAAAGGTTTTTATAGTTTGCATGCCATAGACCATGGAGTCTACATAGCTAATATGAGGTGTCTAACTCTTATAGTCTTCGAGTTATGCTAAAAGAACAATTCTCAGAATAGTTTTTAATGGATATTTGGGATATTTGATAAGTAAAGATTATGAATAATGAATAGATATTGCTGCTTTTATTCTTATATCATTTTATTCCCATATCATTGAATAGATATTGCTGCTTTTATTCTCATATCATAAATTTCCAATCTATACAGACGTATTGCTTGATCTATATTTAGATTAATTCCTATCCTAATCGATCTCATATGGTATCTGAGATGTTGCTCTCACTCTCTCTTTCTGTAAAACCCTAATCATATAACTAAAGCAAAGCTTCTGTGTATCGCTTACTTAAATGGGCCACGCCATGTTGACCATAGTCAAATATTTGCATAGAGTATTGTGGGCATTGTAGTGAGAAGAAGCAAAGAAATGGGCACCCATATTATCAGTAAATTACTACTTAACATCGCCAACACGAATTCCACGAAAGGTAAATTCCAAAAGTGGTAGCTGGACAAACTAAATAATAAACATGGCTCAAACCAAAGGGAAAATTGGTGGGCGCGCACCACCAGCAACCACCAACCACTCGAGCCATCTAGATAAAAAAAATTGGGTAGAAACAACATAAAAAAAACTGGAAAAGAATATGAAGAAAAGTAAGTAAGGAAAGAATAAGTTTGGTCGGGTCGCTCAAGTGCTGTGACGACGCTCACGACCTTTGCCGTTGGCACTTGAGTAGGGTCAGAAATTAGAATAAATAAACGGCCGGACGGACGGACAGACAGACGGACGGACGAAGGGGGGAGCAGGCAACTTGGCTGGAACAATTCCTTGGCTCAATGTTATTCTTACGATTGGTTACAAAATACATTCCACTGCGACCATTTTGTGGCCAACACACACGCATCGAGGCAGCGGCTGTTTGGCCATGTTTTTTCTAGGCCTTAGCCTGTTATTTTAGGGCTGGCATTTAATTCGGCCTTTTTTTTTGGTAACAGTTTGAGGCCTGTAATTTGGCTAACTGTTTACTTATCATTTTTGGGCTCGTCTGTTCTTGGCCATGTTGCCTGCCTGTTGTGCTTGGCCTGGCCGCATTGTTGTAAATGTCTACAAAAATATTATTCGATTTGCGTCGCGTTTTCTATTGTGTGTGTGTGAGGGAGTGTGTGCGTGTGTGTACCTTCTGTCACCAACAATTAAGTGACAACAGCCTAAAAGGTGTTGTGCCCCAGCCACATTTGAGACTTCCGTAGTTTGCGTGCTTTTGTTTGGACGCTTCCAAGTTTTATCTCTGATTACCCTTCAGGAAGTCTCATTCAATCAATTGTCAATAACTACAGTTGGGTGTGTATTTATGTGCGTGTGGGCGTGGCAGTATTAGCCACATACTTTATGCTAATCAGATGCTATAGCAACTAAAGTTTGGTAAACATTTTAAGGGCGTTGGCCACCAATAAAACTTATTTTTATGTGGTTGAAGAGGTTTAGATAAATATCTTTAGGGCGAGGAATTGAGTTGAATATCTTATGACAGAGTTATTATTGAGTTGGTGGCATAGGAAACACTATTTAGAGAGAGCAACTAATAAGGGAACTACAAGAGTTTAAACTTGCTTAAGCGAGGTAAAGAGTTGATTGATATGAATATTATATATATTATATATTATATTGATGCCAGCCATGCAACGCGGCTTAACTTTTATAAATATATTTCATATACTTTGATTTTCTATACATTTATTAATTTTTAAGATTTTTTGTCTTATGAAAAAGTATTGATTTAAGCCGTGCAACGCCGCTCAATTTGTTCTAGCCTACACAAATTAAATTTATAATTTTTTTTAAGCTATTCATTTCTTCCGTCGGTATTTCATTTAGAATAATTTGATTTTTCATTAATTTTGTTCTCTATTTAATTTCAAGTCTTTAAAAATAGCTAGTTTTATATATTAAAAAGAAAAAATAAATTAAGAACAATTTTAGCCTATTTAGTCTCTGAGTTCTATGAGGTCTATGTGGATAAATTAGGCATAAGCTGCAGCTGAAGACATTCATTCGAAAGAACTCAGTTGATTCAGAGACGCTTGCGTTAAGCCTAAGAAATGCACTCAAAATACTTTTTGAATAACTGATTGATGTTCAGAGAATACTAAAAGAATATATAGAATAAAACCCTAAAGAACAAAATCTAATTAAACTTAAGTTAAGATTATACACATCTACTATATCTTTGCCTATCGAGAATTGAGGCCAGCAGCAAATGGGCAAATGGCCTAGAACTAGAATCGAAGGCAGCTGCCACAATTGGCTTGTGGGTTGCGTAGATTGAAATGTTGCAATGCGAGCTGACAAAAACCAATCGAATCAAATGAATGCGGCCAAATCAAATGTCTCTGTATGGGTAGGTCTATCATTGCGAATGGTACAAACCTTTGCTTTATGCAATTGCAAATGCAATTTATGCGAGCGTGAAATATATTTTTGTAATCCAAACAAAGGCAAACAACGTTGTGAATCGAAGGGGTTTTTTTTTTTGGGTCTTTTGTTGAGGCAGATTGAACACAAAAATTTGTTGCAATAAATGCCGTTTGTTATGCTTGTTGTTGTTGTTGGTTGGGTTTTTACAACTCTTTGACAATTATGTAATGTCGGTTCGCCTGTTGCAGAATCAACAATTGCAGCAGCAACAACAACGACGGCAGCAGTATAAATAAACAACAACAGCTTCCGCTGCAGACTTTTTGCACAATTTGATTGTTCGATTTTGATAAATGAATACGAGCTGATTTTATTTTATTTCTTTGATTTGTTTTTTGTTTTGTTGTAATCGTCGTTTTTATCAGAATCGCACAATGCTCACTTGAGAGGTTTGTTAGCGGCGCCTATTGTTAACACTAGGTTACGCCCTGTTTAACGTTTGGTAACTCCTATTATATATGCTATATACATATATGTATTACGCGAGACTTTCACTTTTTTGTGCGTTATATATGCACTAAAATATATTTTGTGTGTTTTTTCTGTTTAGTCTGGGCACAGTTTGTAGCACTAATTCGAATTAGCCGAATTGAAAACACCTGCTTTTTTTTATATTTTGTTCATTAATGTCACTTGTCGCTTGTTAAAAGTCCTTCGCTTCTATTCTAATTCGGGTTTTTTATGCACGCCTACGTTAAAAAACACAGCACAGAACGTGGCTTCAAGCGTTGTTGCTTCTTTTTTCCTCTTTGTTGGGCCAATTCTTTGGCAGCAGCAGCTAACACGCGCGCGTCAAGCGTTGAGCGTTTCTCGAGCGTTTATAAAAATTCAAATACGATTCTAAATGCCTTGACGGCGGCTTCGCACCATGGCGGACGCAGCGACGTCGGCAGCGAAGCCAGCACAAAAGAGAAATGGCGTTGCCAGCTCAAACCAGGCGCAAGAGCAACTAGCGCAAGCGAGACAACTATATGCACTTCCTCCCTGTGCATGTACCCGTGTTTGTGAGTGTGAGTGTGACTGCTGCGACGCGGCCTTTGTTCATGCGCACAAGCAGTGACTACTCTACAGCACATGTGCATGTGTGTGTGCTTGTGTGCATGCAGCAGAGGCGGAGCTTAGCTGTTTTCGGTGTGCTTGTATTTGTGACTTTTGCTTTTGGCTTTGTTACTGCTGGTTTTTTTTAACATGGACGCTGTGCGCTTCTTGCGGAAAAACAATGAGAAAAAAAAGAGCTAAAAACTGGTTTTTGCTCTGTTCTATTTGACGGGTTTTTAGTTTCTTTCTGCTTCTCTTTCTTACAGCTAAAAACACAATCTAATCAAGTAATTAAAGTTGCGAGTGGACTTAAAGAAATTTCCAAGCATCAAAGACAACTTTTAATTGAAAATAAGCTAATGAAATTAATCAAAGAGAAAAATTAAAAACTTGCTTTAAATTCAACGTGGTCAAAATAATAAAAAAGAATTCTTAAACTGACAAATTCAATTTTAGCAAGAGCAAAATGTATTCTAAGATAATAAAATGTATAAAATATAAATTAAATTTGAATACTGAACCATAAAATAAAAATGGAACTGAATAAGAAAATCTTGGCACACAATTTCTAGACCTCAGGCATATATAGAAAAGAATATTCAAGAAATCCTTCCCCCATATCTCTTCAATTTTACTATATATTCTGCTCTGGCAAATAGCGCAGCTGAAAAGCTTTTAGACGCTGCCGTAGCTCCTCGCTCGCGGACTGCAAAGCCTGCAGCTTGGACTTGTGCTGCTGCAGTTGCTCCAACTCCTCGCTGAGTGTTGCTAGATCCTCGTTAAGCTCGTTGCGTTTGTGCTCCGTTTCATGCTGCAGTTGCTGCAGCGAGCGCGTCAATTGCTGGCGCACCTGTTGGCCAAAGCCGG